AAGTCCGCTAAGTGAGTCTTTCTCTCGGAGAGTGCCTTTCTGAGTCTGTATTTCTCTCTGAGTCACTCTTTCTCTGAATATTTTTCCGTGACTTTCTCTGAGTTATCTTTCTCTGTGTCTCCCTTTCCATGTCTTTCACTTACAGTGTCTCTGTGAATTTGTCTCTCGGAAAAGGTGCTAAAGCGAAAGTTGGGATCTTTCAAGACATTGCATACGCCGGGCACAGCCGGAGTCACTGTAATGTGCCATAACGAGATGTTTCTTTACTCTACTTCCCGGTGGATTCTACTCCAAACAATTCCCCAACATACGGTTCGTGAATTTGCTTCGGGTGTTTCAACGCAGTTGGAAACGTTCATTCCATGGTAGTGTCTCGTCAGACACGTAGTGCGGATCTTTGGCCACCCATGCGCCGCTGCGCGCGGTCGGAGCACCTGTTAACAAGCGGCGGCGGGATTCGCCACGGCGGCCCGCCCTCTCCGCCCCGCCCCCGGCCCCATCGCCGACCGATCCCCTCCGCCCCCGACCGCCGCCGCCGCCACCAGAGCGAGCTGCCGACCGCGCTTTCTCGCCGCCTTCGTCTGAACGACTCCTTTGAGGATGTTCAACCCCTTGGTAAAAGCTTCCTCGACATTAAACAAAATCTTTCTTTTTTTGGTTAACCGGAATGAATAGTCCAAATGTTCCAAGTATGTAAAGCGGTGAAGTTTTTCCTGCGTTATAAGATGGAGACGAAAAAACAAGCAGAACGTCTCACATTGTTCTTTCACTCCCATACATACTGCTAAGGTCCCGACTGTATTGTTTATAAAATAGTTCATCATGTTTCCGAATGTATTGTATGTGATGTGAGTTACCACATTAATATATTGCAGATTATGAGGTAAAGAAGAACAACCTATTATTGAGGGAAACTAATTATGTCAAAGTGACAAGCTGGGGGATTGGATGTTATGGATGTTAAGTAATATGTGCATTACTAACAAGGACAAACCATAGAATCATTCTTACAGTTACTGCCTAATAAGGACCAAGTTTGGTGACTTACGTACTCCCGATGCGAATACAAGCTCTATACGCAAAAGTACTTGCTCTGTACGCAGTGGAACTACTCGGAACCTCTCCGCTCTCATTCCTCTGTTCGTCCTTGACTCGCCGTTCCACTTCCGTCACGGCCACCTCCAATGCTTCCTTCCTCCTCCCTTCGCCCTCTCGCCCTGCCTCTGACTGACCGCGACCGCCTCCGTACGCGCGCTGCCCGCCGCCCGCCACCCGTCGCCGGCCGCCCACCTGGGCCAGGACCCCGACATATCAAGGTCTGCGTTTCTCCAACATGACGTCAAAGATATCGAATGATCAATCCTTACAATTTGTGTTTATATTATATTCTTCTAGTGTTTGAAGAATTTATGCCGTGAAATGTTCGTTTGTAGTATTAGGAACCGTGATGTAATAAACTTTATTCTCAGGAAATGGCCCAGTTGAAGGACGACGTCGGTGCACCATTAACTGGCCCAACCAAAGGTATAATCAAATTTGGGGTACTTATTTGTTCGCAAATTGCCACACCTTTTGTTTTTTCTCGGTTGCTGAAAAGAGTGCAATATTTAAGATCAAACGTTTCAGTAGGTCACACCTTCCAAATGTTTTTCTTTTAGAACACAAACCCATACAGATACACACATATACTCACACTCACCCGTAAACGCACATACACGCGCGCGCTGACACACATTTTTTATAAGAATTTAATCTCAGAAATATTGAAGCTATTGCCTTTTTTAGTTATAATGCTCCCTTTAATTACGAAGAAAATCTTAATATTTCTGCGCATCCAAAACTGTTAATTCACTCATAATATTTTCTGACAGTCATTGAGACTTACTCTTATAAATACTTTTTACATTTATCATATATTTTAAGCGTTACCTTTCAATGAATATCGTAATATTCTTCCCAAGTAAAACATTGATATTTTACGTCCTCGAGAGTTTCAAAGGTGTTCTTAGAGAGACAGATTAGTCACCTTTAAAGGGAAACGTTGCCGTTAAATAAATAAAAGATACATGTTCGCATAAGTATGCTTGGTAAAAAAGGCCCTTTTCATTAGTCACCTCTCATTCCATTATACCTCTATCATTATATAAAACATATGTTTATAATTACGTCATAAATAAGATATCCATCAAATCATTCGTCAATTCCAGGTGTGGCTTAGACATTGGCATGAAACGACTGCTCAGAATTTGACCGATGACCCGTGAAGCAGTGTAGTCGGAGGTGGCCGCCCTCGGTATAACGAAGTCGTCTTGTGGGTAGGTCTGCGCGTTCGCCGCCTGTTCGCTCATCGCCGTCTTTTCCGCCAGCCTTCGCGCTCTGCCTTTCTCGTTTCCTCCGCGCCGGCTTCGCCTTCCAACGGCGACCCACGGCCTTCCGGTGACCTCCAGGCGCTTCCTCTGACCACGGACTGCGTGTCTCAGAACGATTGCCAGCCACGTGGGGCGCGAGACCTTCTGGTCCCATCACTTTACACTGACTCCAAATTCTTTACGGGGTCATTCTGGACAACTCTCGCGGTTGTGTTGCTATGCAGTCCTAGTGAAATTTCTAAAGTATTACAGTTCCAGTATGTTTTATGTTTTCGAACATAATATGTATGCTTATACGCAAATGTTTCTATTTTAAGGTCGGATTAATTCGACTTTTGCTAGCTAGCGGTGTTCCCAGGCCTGATTCTTGTTTTAATTATTATCCACGTCATCGGGTCAGGGAGAAATGTGGTGAGCAAGACGTATTCCTATCATCGTTTCATGAATTATTTATACCAGATATTTTTTATTTCGTCTCAGAAGTATTGAAACTGATGATTGTATTGGATAACTTTACCTCTGTTCATGTTCCGACCTGGAATCGAATCCGGAATCACACCACTGAAAACTAGTACGCTGTCCATGCGCCACAAGAGGATAAGCGAAAATATTGTGTGAAATATGTATTTGCTAAATTATTAGTTGATTGTAAGTAACATGACCTTCAGGTTCATCTCGTATTTCTCGCTAAGAGCCTATTGAAGGCGTGTAATAATACTTGGGGAATATCTAAAACGGGCAAAAAATCTCTGTTTTCTTAAATTACGGCTATAACTTGTTCAAAAGGACAGTAATATCACTAATTATTTGATAGATACACATGCTGAAAAAGAGCATTCATTATAATCAGCCATCTGCCAATCTGCCGGGAATGTCACCAAGAGTGGATTCAGAAAATCTTCGAGTAATGGGATCATTACCTATTTCTTGGAATGGCGATTTCTTCTCTAAGTTTTAAAGTGATAAAATAGTACTTAATAAAAATAATTACATAGTTTTCATGCGTAGAAAACTTCTTGAGCTAATCAATTATATCATTTTCATTTTCAGGTACTCCGAGACATTGGAGATAACGTCCATCCTCTCCCACCCTTTGAATCCACCACTGAGGGAACACAAGTCACTGGTAACTCAGCAAGGACATTGCAATGTCTTTGGAAAGGGAGCGGACTATCTTCTCTTCGTGTGACTGTCCCAAGTACTTGCGGAGGAGCGATCAAGTTCACATGTCTTCTGCGATGCCAGCTCTCCAGAGCAGCAATTTGGATGTTGGATACAGAAGGTACGGCAGCAATTTGGATGTCACACGTTCTTTTGTATACCCTTGTTTGAATTTGGTAGCAGTTTTTTTATATTTCAATATTAAGACGAGAAGACATATATTTTGCATACAACTCATGGGCACTTAAATATAATGCTTTCGTTAACACGAGAATTCCAGAACACGTAGTAAATTGTGACATGGCCCACTATTTCTTGACTGGAATGTAGAGGTATGATAGATGATGTAATCCGCCTTTTTGTTCACAAATATTTTTTGTGATTGCCCAGCGGATATGTATTAGCACGCTCGCTGACTTAGGGCTTGAACGTAGCCAAAACATCCGGTTACGCGAAGTTATTGCCTATTTCCGTTCGTCGAGGACAAGATCGCACACTAAAGCAGAGAGCAAAGAAGAAGTTTGCTCTGTTGTGGCTGTGACCTATGTCTAGAAGCAAATAGATAGCTAAGTCTAATTATGCGTAATATATTGAAGATATAAATGTAATTAATTAGAAATAATGTTTTACGTCTATAAAAAATTACAAAATGCATGGTACTGAATTACTGGGTCTACGTACATCACTGCAAATACAAAAATTCCGGTTTCTCTGATTAGCACAGGCACTTGGTCCGAAGAATTCCTGGCGACCGCCATATCAATGCCTTAAACTACTCAACCACAATACCATTTCCATTTTGCACCTACTTATACACTTAAGAGGCCCATTCAAGGAAGCCAAATCTGCGACGCGACAGTTGTACGCTGCCACCTGCTTCATTGTCCGCAAGGCGAATTGCGACAGTTTGATAATTACGCGTTGTAGTCTCGTCAAGACTGACTTGCTGGTGAAGGGGCTGATGTAGGGACGGGCAATGGCCCGGTGCCCCATCTCTATAAAAGTCATTTTTCATGATTGTGAAAAAACAAACACTTGACTGCACTAGTGAAAGGTCTTGGTCGTAGCACATTGAGGAGAGAACGACAGCGAACGAACGAACGTGCGCGGGCGAGAGAGAGAGAGAGAGAGAGAGAGAGAGAGAGAGAGAGAGAGAGAGAGAGAGAGAGAGAGAGTCAGAAAGAACGTGAGAGGCTGAAGACGAGAGCGAGGGGGAGCGCCGGGAGGGAGTGTGTGTGAGAGAGAGAGCAAGCAAGCGGCAGCGCGAGGAGGAGAGGGCTGCGCAGGCGGCGCGTGGGCCGGGCGTCCGCTGGCGGACGGGCGGGCGGCGGGGCGCGGCGCGGCATTCTCCTTTTCTTTTCGGCGGCTGCCGCTCCTCGCCTCGCACTGAGTTATTGGCCGGGTCCTCCTCGCTGGTGACAATTAGCGGCGAGGACGTCGGCGCGGGCGGCGGTGGCACGGTGCCCGTCCGTCCCGTCCACCCCCGTCCCCGTCCCTTCGTCCTAATGAGAAAATATCTGCCGCCGCCGCCGCCTTTCTTTCCGCTGGGAAGCGCCCTCCGCAGCCCTCGGCGGAGGCCAAAGGGCGTGATTAATCGTAGAGCGCCCGAGGAGGCCCCGCTCCTCCACCCCTCTCTTCCCCCGTTTTGATATTTTTCATCATCTTCATCTGAGAGCGCGCTCTGATGTAAATGGTTGTGGCACTCGCGTCTTGGAGCGCCTCCTCTTCGAGGTTGTGATGGGAGAGTGGGTTGGCTCTTTTGTGTAGAGCAAGAGATTATTACGAAGAAAATGTGGTGGAGATTTATATTTTGTACTTTGATAATGTTCGTTTTATCGTTTATAACAAAGTTTTCTTGTCTCTGAATAGTTGTATGAAAACGTCATTACAACTTGTATTTTTTTTGACGGCTCTTGTTATAGATTCTTATCTTTTATATTGGTTGTATTTTCAGTCTGAGATGTTGACTTCATATGATTTTTCTTAGGGTGAACGCCTTCGCCTCAAGATGAAAAAGTGCCCTTTTCATTTGTATTAGTGAAAGTTTTTACAACCACCCACAATGTTTCAATGAGATTCGCGCTTTAAGTCTTAAAATATACCCTAAACGCTCCTGTGACATTCCTACTTGTTTTTGCTACGGGTAAACACGAACGCGAGTATCGATATCCCACCAAGAGTAATAGTACAAATGACAGTTTTCTTTTTCTGCCGACCGCCTTCACAACATAGGCTTGGGATCCAACGAGCCACGCAACTCTCAAATATTATTTTAAAAATGTATAAAAAGTGTATTTGTGAATCGAATTATGTGAATTTGAAAATGTACTACCAAGCTGATACTAATATCGAATGCGTCAAATATTGCAATATTTAACGTATCCAATATTAATGAGCCGACCGTTTTGTGGCGGTGCATCGCCCGCCCATCTGGACGGGAATTCCTTCAGCGTCCTAGGCGCCTCCATAACTCGCGGCAGGTCATGCGCTGGCTGCCTCGCGAATCCGGAGCCGCGGGCGGCGCTCTGCACAAGATGGCGCCGGCGCTCGTACTCGCCATCCATCTCCCAGGCCCGCCCGCCCGCTCGCCCGGCGGAGC